CACCCCCACCCCCACCCCCACCCCCACCCACACCCACACCCACACCTACACACACACACACGAAAAACACGTATAAAAAAACCAAGTCATCAATATTGAACCGTATTGGCCCGTCCACCGACGAACCATGCAATTGACTTCGACTTGTGCGTGCACGCCCTGCCGCGTAGCAACTGAGATCAAGGTTTTTATTTTTCATCCGAAACAACAGAAAGAACCCAGAATCACCGCACATCGTGTCAACACATATCCACGACACGCATTTCCTCGCACGTAAGTATCGTCGAAATGCCGAACGGAGGGCGACAAATCGACGTTATCGACGTCAGGGTGGGGTCGACGTGAATGTCTCGATCTCTATTCCCACAACCTCGACATCGTGTTTTTTCCGCAGAGTCGACCCCAAAAAATCTGGACCCCTTCCCTGGGACCTGTTTTTCATCCCGAGTCGTTTTTTTGACAACCCAGAGGCACAATAAGGGCCCTTGGAAAACGAAAATTGCGGAAAACGTTCCGTCGTGATTTTGTTCGCACCGCTAGGCGGTCTGTTTTTCTCGCAATCGCAATGAACCACCGTGAAAAGGCCGTGCAACTGTCCGACCCATGACTCTCTTCACGTTGAGACTACTGGAAGATAGTCAGTCAAGGCGATCGACTGGAGCAGAACTTCTGGGGGGACCCCACCTTGAATTTGGTGACTGGCGTAGGCACGGCTCCCAGCCCATGGCCCCGCGGTGCGCGCAGCAGCCGCAACCGCTTGAACCCGCGTTGATTGAGAGCTTACCATTTCGCAAAAGCGCATGCGATGGCAATCGGTTGGAGAGGAACACACGATTGACTATTGCGCAATTCTGGGTCTTCCCAGCTATGATATATGGCAGGCGGATGGTTATGAATCGGCGCTTCAGAAAGTAAGGGCGCGCGAGGCAGCGGCTACGAACATTTCCAAACATGATTCTCAAACAACCCCTCTTCCGAATCCTGCGATGAGGTAACGCAGTAGTCGGTAAAACAAACACCCCGACATGCCATTCGAGACGCGTTGCCCTTGTCTGTTTCGGCCACCCTCTCGAAACCGCGAATTCGACGGCACGGGCAAGACTTTCCATCAAAACGTCAACATTCGCACGAAGCCGCGCAACCGGGGAACTTACATGAAACCGCGCAGCCGAGGGGCGCAAACATGGCAAAATGGTAAACTACAAATAATCTACATCGGGGGCGCACTGACCCGGGTCAATGCAAGCCTGGGTCAGTCGGACTTGGCAAGATCCTGCAGGATCCTGCGCGCGTGCCCAGGTCAATGCACCCCTGGCTCTGCAGGATCCCGCAAGATCCGGCGCTCTCGCTGAACCCGGTTTGCACTGACCCTCGTCTCAGGACCCCCGACTCCGAACCACACTGCGCCCCTTGTGGGGTCATCAGGCTGCGTGGCGGAGGTGTTCTGCTCCCTGCATCAGTGCCAATTCGCAGCAATGCTACAACACTACTTCCTGCTTCCTACTGTCAACTATTGCTGTCCGCGCGAGGGGGGGGGGAAACCGAAAACCAGCCCGTTACCTTCTCCGAGTCGCGTGCTCCAGCTCTCAGGGGGGCCTTTGGACACTTAAAAAACCCGGAAAAATTCGCGCCCCCGAAGCACGAGTCCCTTGAAGATCGCACCAGACTCGCATCCCGAGGCCACGATCTCTGACCGATGACACCGGCGTCGCGCCCCCGAGGACAGACTCCCCCCCTCCCTCGTGTATTACGCCAGATTCGCGCGCGCCCAACAGCCACATACTCTTCGCGCCCCCGACGCCACGATCCTCCGCGTGAACTTCGCCCGGAGGAGGAGGAGGAGGAGGAGGAGGAGGAGGAGGAGGAGGAGGAGGAGGAGGAGGGGGAGGAGGAGGAGGAGGAGGAGGAGGAGGAGGAGGAGGAGGAGGAGGAGGAGGAGGCTCGCGCCCCCGAAGCCCCGAAGCCCCTGGCAGGTGGCGCCCGCTGCGCACCCCCGAGGCCACGGCCCTCCTGCGACTTGCGCGCTCGGCGCGCGCTCCAAGACGGCCACGATCCCCCTAAGCGAGTTCGGGGGGTTCGCTTCTCCAGCCGGCGACGCGCATGGCCACGGAAGACAAGCCGAATGGATGACGGCGGAACCGCTCGTTCGTTGCTCACGAGCACAGGAGCAACACGTCAGTGACGTCACGCTCGCCGACTCTGAGGCTCCGATATTGTTTCAAGACTGCACCCAAGAATGCTCACATAGCTCCAGTAGGTTCCATTATGATAGAGAGGGGGCTCGCGACAGAGGGGGTCAAGCCCTTACGGATTACGTGCAGTGCTGGGCGGTGGTGATATTAAGATGCTGGGGGATGATCTAAATTGAGGGTTACCCTTAAATCGGGTGTGTCCCTCTACAGCAGGATCGAAGTTCCGGCGGCGGGACAGGGGAGGGACAACACACGCCATGTTGTCAAGGGGTGGAGGTTGAACAAGGGGACGCCTTCATGCCCGCCTTTCTCTGCCTCGCTTTGCGCCCAGCGCTGCAACGAGATCGCGATCTTATTCCGACGCGTGTGCCATGTCGTTGCTTGTTTGGACGGCACTTACCCCTCTCGTCCTCCTCCTCCCCTGGGAATGGCGATCGCCACTGGCGGATGTGGCACGCACCGCCGCCAGCCTCGCCGTCGACACGGCCCAACTTTCCGCAGCGTCGCCGCCGCTTATACGCTGGGCTGCCCTCGTCTGTTGTGGCTGTGAGCCGCGACGCTCAGCGCGGGAAAAATCCGAGGCTATGCCGTGAAACCTAAGAGGTAAGGCCACAACACGTGCGAACCCCTAGTCGAGCGTGCGGTCACCTGGCAGCGCACTTCCCGCCTCGGAGGGGTGGCGGTAGCAATGCAGATTCGAAGAAGGGGTGAAGAAGGAGAAGAAGAAGACGAAACCCAGCATCCAGGGAAGAAAGCATGAAAGTCATCGCCAACAATCATACACATCTTACGACCGTTCGCTCTTACCTGCTCGCGTGCAATTGAACATGTATATCCGTAACCATCGATACCCGCCCTCTTCATCTTAGATCGTATCCCCTTGGGGTGTGTATCGTCCTTATCTGCCACGTGTAGCTGGCGCAACCCCTCAGGCAGGGGAAAGGAGGGAGCCTGAGCTTCGGCCGTGTTGCCGCGAGTCGCCGGGGCTAGGACGTGAGGGAGGAGAGAAAGGACATGGGGGAGGGAGAAGGATGGAGCACGAGAGAGATTAGCACGGTAGGGATTAGGAGCAGGAAAACAAGCTGCAAGTTGAACGGGCGGACCCTAACGGGCGGGTCGGGCGAGCGGAAGCGTCAGTCCCGCGTGAATCGTGAGGCAGTCTCGAGCGCGATTCCTGAGTGTCGAGGGCGCGGCGGTTCAATACATCCCACCCGTCCTTTGGGCTAACCTCTGAGTTGTTTTTTTTGGGGGGAGGTCGCGACGCGTCAGAGCGCCCGAGAGGGCCTCCAAGATGGCCTCCAAGATGGCTGAAGGTAGCTGGCGATGGTTCAAGATAGCTTCGGACATACCTCCAAGAGGCCCGACGAAAGCCACAAGTGCTCTCGGAGCCCAACCTCCGGGATCCCCCCCAGAGACCAGCATCCTTCAAACACCGAAGGACAACGGATGATGTTCGCCTTCTCGCCTTTGCGCTTCCGATGCGCTTTTGAGGCCTCAAGATGGATGGCCCAAGAGATGCCCAAGAGGGGCCCAAGAGGCTCCCCAGACGGCCCCAAGAGCGCCCCACGAGGCTGTGTTGATAGCCCCCGGAGGGCACCAGACGTTACGGCCCCCTCTCGTTTCACCGACGTCCTTCAGGACCCCGAGAGAGCCTCAACAAGGCCCAGAGACTCGGGCGGGCGGCAATTGGGGGGTGACCCAAACGGGGGGTGCAGAGAAGGGTCCACAGGGGGCCCTTCGGGGCCCCTGTTGGAGCCGGCTGGTGCCCAAAAGGACCCTGAAGGGTCCCTTTAGGGTCGTTCTCTTCACCCCCCCTGTGGGGCAGCCCCCGTTACCAGCCGCCGGAGAGACCCCTCAAAGAGCCCCAAGAGGATCCCACTGTCCCCCCAAAAGAGTCTCAAGGGTGCTCCAAGAGGCGCTCTCGAGGGCTCTATTCTCGTCCTCGTCATCCTTCTCCTCCTTCGCCTCACCCTCGTCCTTGCCCTCCTCGTCTTCCTTGTTCTGCTCCTACTCTTCTTCCTCGTCGTCGTGGTCGTCGTCGTCGTCGTCTTCTTCCTCCTCCTGCTTCCCTCGTCCCCACGCGGGCGCCAGGGGTGGCCAGAAGAGGCCCTCCCAAACTACCCCCTTGCTCCCCAAAATCTCTCTGTTCAACCTGGTTGTCCGCTTTGTTTCACCACATGTGCCTCTTCGGCCCTTCTCCCGCCAACTCCAACGGGCAAGGTTTCCGAACGGGCTGTTGGGGTTACGCGAAACGTGAATACACTTGAGGAAAGCCCCCGCGACAACGCGATTCTTGCGTACATTGTGGAAATAACCCGCGCGAGAGCGCGAGCTTGAACACGTCTTGAGCACAGATCGGGCGGGAGCCGTTATTGTTGTAAACCGGGGGCCAGAGACGCAATCTGAGGTGCAATACTTTTCCATGTAAAAAGCAGCCCCAGGAGGGGTACTTCACTAGACGCAACCACCATGGGCATCGGAGGGGAAACATCAACAACAAGTACTTTTGAGAAGTGGGAACTCAAAACACAACCATCATGTCAAGACTGCTCACTCTCAGGTGCTCGCGTCTCATGTAACATGTATCTCTCAACACCTCGATGCCTGCCCTCTGCGTCCTTAATTGTGCCCCCTGGGGGTATATATCCTTTCATGCCACGTGTAATTGGAATCGCCCTCAAACAGGAAGAGCAGACATAATGGAAACGGGAGCGAGCGTGGAGGAAGGGAGGGGGGGAGGGGACCCTCGAACAGGACGAGCAGACATTAGGGAAAAGGGAGCGGGCATGGAGGCAGGGAGCGGAGCAAGGGAGGGAGGGCAGAAGGGGGCAACCGGAGAGGGAGGGGGGAGATCGAGGACGAGAGGGCTTAGAAGGAGCGGAGCAAGGGAGGGAGGACAGAAGGGGGGCAACAGGGGAGGGAGGGAGGGAGATCGAGGACGAGAGGGCTTAGCAAGAAGGGTCCGCACGCGGGGATGGCAGGGAAGTCTCGGGCGAGAGCACGGCTCCCGAGCAAAGAGGACGAGAGGGTCCAGCAAGAAGGGTCAGAGCAAGAGGGGACGGCAGGGAAGCCTCCGGCAAGAGCGCGGCTCCTGGTTACAATGTTGAAGAAGTCCCGAGCGAGAGAGCGGTTCCACAGCGCCGAGAAGGCGCTTCGTCCACAACCTGGAAGGGAGCCCGAGGCGAGAGCGCCATTCCTGGATTAGTTTCACGGAAGTCTCGAGCGAAAGCTCGACTGCTCAGTCCGTTGCGTGGGAGTCTCAAGCGTGAGCCGCTGTCTTTCCTGTGCTGAAGACAAACAGCTCACTTGAAAAACATAATGGGCACCGCAAAGGGGGACCAACCGGAACTATTCTCTGAATCTGATCACTCAGCAAAACTGCCTGCCAAGGTTGACTACCCTCTGCCATGCCGCGGGGAGCGCTCCAGGGGAACGAGCGTGAGCGCAGCGACGCACGGGGTGTCGATGGGGGGCAGGAACTGGCCATCGCTCGGACGTCCATTCCCTGTGCTTTTTTGCGGTTGCGTGCGCGGTTCTTTCGCCAAATGATCAGGGATGCTCCTCGATGGCCCTCGCCGAAAGGAAACATGCACACGCCCGAGCGATGCCGAGGGAAGGGGGGACCGGCGGCGCGCACGGGGAGGCCACGGAGGGCGGCTCGAAGGGGAGCGGCGACGGAGCCGACTGGCCTCTGGCGTTTTTTTTTTTTTTTTTTTTTTTTTTTTTTTTTTTTTCGACTGGCCTCTGGCGTGTCGCGCCAGATGCACTTGGTGTACAGCTGCTGGAACGCGTCCAGGGCGGCCGCCGTCGTGAGGCCTCCGGGCGAAGGGGGGCGGCGGAGGCCTGCTGCGCTGCCCGTGCGAGCATCTTGAAGGTGCACCGGAGTCGAAGGTCGCAGCAAGATGGCACTGTCGTCTCCGAGAGAAGTCTGGGGACAAGCAAGCCTGCCCCGCCTTTGACCACCCTCGCCTCCAAGAGGTGATTACCAAGCGATGCCAGACTGCGGCCTATCCCGGTCAGGCCGCTCGACGAGGAGGCGCGTGGTATGACGTGGTTTTGCCCGGAAGCGAAAGCGGGGTAGGTAATTCACGCTCTGAGACGTGGGGTTCCGCGCAGTGGACTCTCGTTGTTGGGCTCTCGATCTCTCTCTAACAGTCCCTGGTCTAGCCAACCTGTCGCTTCCACGCGAAACCTGTTCCTGGGAATATCAAACCCAATGAACGCACATGCAATGCTGATCAGTATTAAGCGTGTCCCTTCCAAGACCAACTATACGAACATCGGGTTCCATGTAGAAATCCTCACAACTCTGGCCAGCTGACCCACACGCGGACCTCAAAATCCCTGATCTTGTCGAGGAGTATGCAATTCCCACCCGAAACCACTCAGTATTTCAAGTATTCCGGACCTCCTGCTCCTCCTTATTCCTTCCAACTCCCTGCCTTCCTCTCGCTCTCTCCTTCTCCCCCTTCTCCTCCATCTTCACTCCTGGCCCAGCGGCTCGAATTCAGGCCCGCCCAGCCCGACAATGACCACTTGAATGAGACTTCGCCAAGCCCAGCCCGCCCCCACAGAGTTGGCTGAGAGTAAAGAAAGGCGGGTGCCACCGGATTCGGATGAACAGCGGAGCCACAACCGAGCATCGAGCTCGTCTCTATTGACAAGAACACTTCTTGCTTCTTGCTGAGGGGCCTGACCAGACACCCCCAAGATGTGTTCACAGATGGGCTGCACCGTAGGTGAACCAAACCTTGCAAACCTGATCAGTGCAGCATCGACGAACCTCGGGCGCAGGTCCCTTGCCCCGAAGCGACAACGGCACCGCCCGTCGCGTGGGAGGTCCCCCCCTCCAGTTCCGGCACGCGGCCAGAAATCCCGCCACCGTGCCTCGGGCATGCATTAGGTCGGGCATGTCCTCCTACAGGCAGATTTTGGACGAAAAAGTTACCTCTCAAATCTTCAAACATATGCAACAAGTGTTAAACATCGTCCCCCGACTAGTTTTGTTTGACTATTTTTGAAGATTCCTCCTGTAGGGGGACGCGCCCGACTTAAAGTCGGGGATATTCTGACCCGGGTCAATCCAGACCCGGGTCAATCAGGCCTTGCAGAATCCTGCAAGATCCTGCACCCAAACCCGGGTCAGTGCGAAGAATCCTGCAAGATCCTGCAGGATCCTGCACCCAAACCCGGGTCAATGCGACCCTGTCCCTGCAGGATCCTGCAAGATCTGGCGATCTGGCTGACCCCCGTTTGCATTGACCCCCGTCTCAAGGCTCCCGATAAGGCATGCAGCGGAGCACTCCAGTGCCCATCTTGGCCCCAATGTTGCAAGTCATGTGTTGCACGCGAGAAGACCAACAATACGTTTGCGCCCCAGAATGCATTGCACGCCCCAAATGTAGTGCGACCCCACAAACCTATTGCACGAAATCTATTGCACCAACCCCTTGTCGCTGGACACCCTTTTGGGTCAACCCGAACCGTGCCTCTGGCATGCGGCGGAGCACCCTGGTGCCCATCTTGGCCCCGAGCCGGAAGGCTCGCGACAGCAGCCAGGCCCTCGCTCCCGCTTCGGGAGCCTTGAGACGGGGGTCAGTGCAAACGGGGGTCAGCCAGGGCTCCTCCTCCCTCCTCCCTTCTCCTCCTCCTCCTCTCCTCCTCTCTCCTCCTCCCTCCTCCCTCCTCCCTCCTCCTCCTCCCTCCTCCCGCCCTCCTCCTCCTCCCCTCCTCCCTCCCTCCTCCCTCCTCCCTCCTCCCTCCTCCCTCCCCTCCTCTCCTCCCTCCCTCCTCCCTCCTCCCTCCTCCCTCTCCCTCCTCCCCTCCTCCTCCTCCCTCCTCCCTCCTCCCTCCTCCCTCCTCCTCCCTCCTCCCTCCCTCCCTCCTCCCTCCTCCCTCCTCCCTCCTCCCTCCTCCTCCTCCCCCTCCGCCTTCCCCTCCACCTCCCCCTCCTCCTCCTCCTCCTCCTCCTCCTCCTCCTCCTCCTCCTCCATTCCTTCTCCATTCCTTCTCCTTATAGATAACTCCTCCCTGTCGCACCCCGAGGCAAGTTTTAAGGTGGGCTGGGCGTTTCGCCTGAGACTTCCTCACCATGTATGACGCAGAAGCTTAAACATTGGCAACAACTTCACATATGGAGGGCGGGTCGCTTTCAAAATGTGCCTCTCACCTGAGCGCCGCGCACATTCGCTTTAAAACTTTGCACGGGCTTCACGGTTTGAGGGCGGGTGGTTTTCAAACTGTGGCTCTCGCCTGAGCGCCGCGCACATTCGTTCTGAACATTTGCAAGAGCTTCACGGATTGAGGGCGGGTGGTTTTCAACATGTGGCTCTCTAGCGCCGCGCACATTCGCTGTCATCTGCAAGAGTTTCACGGATTGAGGGCAGGTGGTTTTCACAATGTGGCTCTCGCCTGAGCGCCGCGCACATTCGTTTTAAACATTTGCAAGAGTTCCACGGATTGAGGGCGGTTCCTTTTTAGAATGTGGCTCTCGCCTGAGCGCCGCGCACATTCGTTTTAAACATTTCCAAGAGTTTCACGGGTTCCCATGATCAACGTACCAGAAATGGTGTTTGGGAAGGATTCAAGATTATGCGGGCGCAACAGTTATGTTGAGTCGCTGTGGTGAAGTCCCAAACATTGCAATCTGGCACGGTTCTGGATCGTCACGACGCAGCAGTCAGGTTGATACGTGGTGTTGAAATCCCGAGAACAATGTTTTGGTACGCTTCAGGATCTTCAAACATTTGTCTTCCAACGAGGCAGTTCCCTCAATGGAAATGAACCGTTGTAGGGGCCTCTGAAGAGGGAGCTTGGAGGGAGGGTTAATTCCATCATCGTTGATGACTCTTGGGTTTCCACTTGTCCTCCTCCTCCTCCTCCCCCTCCTCCTCCTCATCCTCCTCCTCCTCATCCTCCTCATCCTCCCCCTCCTCGGGGCTCAAGAGACGGGGGTCGATGCAGACGGTTGTCAGCCAGAGCGCCGGATCTTGCAGAATCCTGCAGGGCCAGGGTCGCACTGACCCGGGCTTGGGTGCAGGATCCTGCAGGATCTTGCAGGATCCTTCGCACTGACCCGGGTTTGGGTGCAGGATCTTGCAGGATCTTGCAAGGCCTGGCTGACCCTGATCTGGATTGACCCGCGTCAGAAGATCCCCGATCGCTGCGCTCGCCAGATCTGCGCGTGGCTGCTTCCCGGCGCCTCTCTTCTTTGCGCGGGCCGCAGAGAGCCTGGAGCTGCACGGTTTCCCCCGGGGCTGTAGGCGACCCGAGGAGGAGGAGGAGGAGGAGGAGGAGGAGGAGGAGGAGGAGGAGGTGGAGGAGGGGGGAGGAGGGGGAGGGGGAGGGGGAGGGGGAGGGGGCAAGCTAGGTGCGCTCGCGTCATATCTGACATCCTACCCCTCCCTCCCATCCCTTACCATGGCGTAGATCCCCTCTCTACTCGCACAGTCGGATGTCGAGCAGGGCAATGATCCCGAAAGGGTACGCGATGCATTGTAGAGCACGGCATGGCATGGCGTAGAAGAGCACCGCAAAGCGTAGCATCAACCTAGCATTGCATTGCATGCCGTGGCATGGCACGGGAAATGACGCCCAGCGCTGCAGCGGGAGCACGAGTCGGAACGAGCGGAAGCGCGGAAATGAGGCCAGCGCTGCAGCGGGAGCACGATTCGGAACGAGCGGAAGCACGGAAATGAGGCCAGCGCTGCAGCGGGAGCACGATTCGGAACGAGCGGGGCCCGAAAATGAGGCCTGCGCCTCAGCGAGAGCAGCATTTTGGAAAACAATGTAAGCGAAAACCCAACTCCGGGGATTCCTGTGTGTTAAAAACAATACGCGGGGGGGGCTAATACTTTCAAACCGTCATCAGGGGAAGAGGGAGAGTAGTATTCATATTGAGTAATTGTAGAGGAGGATGAGGAAGAGGAGGAGGAGGAGGAGGAGGAGGAGGAGGAGGAGGAGGAGGAGGAGAGGAGGAGGAGGAGGAGGAGGAGAGGGAAGAGGAGGAGGAGGGGGAGGAGGGAGGAGGAGGAGGAGGGGAGGGAGGAGGAGGACGAGGAGGAGGAGGAGGAGGAGGAGGAGGCAGAAGAGGAGGAGGAGGAGGGAGGAGGAGGAGGAGGAGGAGGAGGAGGAGGAGGAGGAGGACAGGTCGCCAAAGCCCTTCGGAGACACTCTCCACCCAGACCCCCTCGCGTTGCGAACAAAATCTCGACGGGCGGTCTTGCGGCCATTTTCGGCCTCTGGGAGCCCTTCCTGGGCCCCCAGGGCCGTCAAAAGACTGCTCTCGGGAGAAAAAAACAATCTAGGGGAAAGGGTCAGTCCAGACCTCTGGGGGTCGACGTTGTGAGACAATCACGACGTCGGCTGGGCTTTGTATATGTTTGGTTTGCGAGGGTTTTCCACACACGCACACACACACACACACCCTCCAGCGGGCATATTGGGCCTCTCTCGGTCCCTGTGCGACGGTCCTTGGACTACGCACGACTGTCGAGACTTCCTGGGGTGGGCTGGGGCCGTTTTTCGGCGCCCTTCCCTTTTGTGGCCGTCTTGTGCCAGGCTGGTCCCCCCTTTGACGCGATGGCGAAGTTGCGCAAATATGGTGGCGTCCACGCACTGTTCGCAACCCCGAAGCCCCTGGGCTCTCTGGGTAAGGCGGACCGTACCAATGCCGCGGAATGCAATGCGACGCAATGCGACCGCGCCCGTCCGGCTGCTGGGATTCCTGACGGTCATCACCAAGAGTAGAGGCTCCCAGATGGGGCCAGAGCAGATGATGTCAGAGGATTGCGCCGTACCTTCGATGCATCATCGAT